AAAGCCCAAAAGGCGACTTTGTTAAAAATGTACGTTTTACGAAGGGAATGGGCCAATTCTTGCGTCTAGGGGCCCTCTTGGGACGCATGTTGGAGGCTTCTTGGGGCCTCTTGGGGGCGTCCTTGGACGTCTGGGGTCTCCTGGGGCCTCTTGAGGGGCCTCCTGGGGGCCTCCTGGCGGCCTCTTGGGGCGGAAGGCTCGAGCTTGCGGTTCGTGGTCCCCCTCTGGGCCCCCTCTTGGGCCCGTCTTGGGGCCCTCTTGGGCCATCTTGGGCGCCTCTTGGGCCGTCTTGGGGCCCTCTTGGGCTGTCCTGGGGCCCTCTTGGAAGCTTCTTGGGCCGTCTTGGGGCGGTCTTGGGCGCCTCTTGGGCCGTCCTGTAACGTCGGAAAGCCCAAAAGGCAACTTTGTTGAAAATGTACGTTTTACGAAGGGAATGGGCAATTTTTGCGTCTAGGGGCCCTCTTGGGACGCATGTTGGAGGCTTCTTGGGGCCTCTTGGGGGCGTCCTTGGACGTCTGGAGGCCATCTTCAGCATCTCGGAGCCCTCTTGGAGGCCTCTTGGAAGTTTCTTGGGCCGTCTTGGGCGCTTCTTGGGCCGTCTTGTCTGACTGGGGAGGCCTCCGGCAAGCCCCGACGAGCCTCCGGGCCCCCCGGGGTGCACATTTGCGGTCGGGGTCCCGGCCCCGGGCCCCCGGACCCGGTGCGCCGTTATATGTATATGTATATATATATATATATATATATATATATATATATATATATATATATATTTATACGTATCACAGACAATCAATCAGTATACGAGGGGTGTACGATAAGTACGACACCACACCACGAGGCGAGTCAGCCGAGCTGTGGGCTCGAATCTGTGAAGAGTTGCGTCAACGTGCCGTTGAGAACGTTGTGCTGTTATTTGTCAACTCCCATTTGACGGCGGCGGCGGCGGAGATGCAAGTACCGAGCTGGCTCGTGATTGGGAACGCCATGGCGGACGTCCTTGCAGGCGAGGCGGCAGCAGCAGCTCGTCTCGCGCAGTCAGAGAGGGCCCGAGCGGGCCAGATCGAGCACCGTACCTTTCTGGTGCGGATGAGGCTGCTGCTGGCGGCCATCGACGCGATGGCGGCGAAGGAGGCCCTCGCGAGGGCCCAGGGGGAGGCAGCAGCGGGTGCAGGACCGCGAGTGAGGGTGGCAGTGTTTCTCCCCTCCCTCCTCCTCTTCCTCCTCCCCCTCCTCCTGCCCAGTCGTGGCCCCCGCCGTCGTGTCCCGAAGCCGTGTCCATCCTGTCCACTTCCCACGCTCTGGACGAGTCGGGGCGGCGGTGCCGTAAGTGTAGGGGTTCTGCGTCGATCTCGGAGACCCGCCGGTGGCGGGCATCGTCGTGTTTCAAGCTTGTGGCGATCGGCAGTGCGTTGAGAACCCTTCCCCAGGGGGCGGAGGTGCACATCGCTGGGGGGTGGGTGCACGGATCTCACAGGATGAAATATAATCGGGACGTAGATGTCTGGTTTTGTTCTCTGTGTGGAATGTTCGGAGACTTGCAGCTCCTAGAGTTGGGAAGGGTGTGTTTAGAGAAGGCCACTCCGACCACAGCGGCATATCTCAATCGAATACAAAAGGGACTGTGGCCAAAGGTATATTAGTACCGCCGAGAAGGCCAGGATATTACTTAAAGGGGCTCCCGTGCTGAGGTTGAATCTTGGACGCTGTCCTGGGATTATTACTCTTACTCTTACTCCTCCTCCTGCTCCTCCTCCTTCTCTTCCTCTTCCTCCTCCTCCTCCTCCTCCTCGGCCTCCTCCTGCTTCTCATCCTCCAGGCCCTGCATCTTCCTATCGTTCCATTGGGTTTCCTGCTCCACCGGCACCTGCTCATTCAATCCCCTGACACACGACCACTCCTGCATCCCCCTCCTCATCGTCGTCGTCGTCCTCATCCTCCTCCTGGGCGTCCTGCCCATCTGTTCTTGTTCCGCTCCCTCTCTTCCACCGCTTCCCCTCTCTCCTCCTCCTCCTCATCCTCCTCCTCTTCTTCTTCGTGCTCCTGCACCTCCTGCTACTTGGGCGTTTGCGACCGCGAGCGGATTGAAATTGCGCCTGTGGGAGGGTTGAAATGTGTCGCCTGGTTGCGGTTGCGGTTGCGCCCGCGGGCGGGTTGAAATGTGTCGCCTGGTTGTGGTTGCAGTTGCGCCCGCGGGCGGGTTGAAATGTGTCGCCTGGTTGCGGTTGCGGGTGCGCCCAGGCGTTTTGAAATGTGTTGTCAACAATGATCCTCTCGTTCAATCTGTTCAGTGCAATTCAATTCAATCGGTCAGCCAGTGAGCGGAAAGCACGGAATTTCACCCGGCTCCGACGGGAACAAGCTTCAAAATGGAGGCTTCGGCTCCATTCTGGAAGCTTTCCGCCTCCACGGTGAGCCCTGACTCCGGGTCCACCGTACTTTGGCTGACTTCCCAACTGATTCCCTAGCTGATTTGGTTGCGCACGCGCGCCGTCTTCGTGTCGACCCGTGGATTACGGGCAATGCGGCCAATACGTCGCGAACGGAGCGACGAGCTATCCGCGCCCGTCAGCCGCCAACTGTCCGTGAAGGCTGGGTCGCTCACGCTTCCGATGGCGCAGCCAATGGCCAAGGCGGCGCATGCGGTCGCGCCTCCTCCTGCGGCTGCGCGCGTTGTCAGGCCGGAGCGCGTCGCGTTGTTGCCTCATGCGGGGAGTTCTTGGCTGACGCCACGAAGAATTCGGCAGAGTACTGTGGTTTCCACCTTGCCATTCGTCACGCGCTTCAGAACCCTGCGCGCCGAGTGTTGTTCCAAGTGGACTCCCTGCTTGTCGCGCGCCAGATGTCTTGTCAGTGGGGGTGCCTATCGGTAGATCTGCGCGCAGCCTACGAGCGAGGGTTGGAGCTGCTCGCGGCTCGGCGATCCATGGCTGGTGTGCACGCAGTGGAAAGATGCCACGTGTACCGCGAGTTCAATGCCGATGCCGATAGCATTTGCAATGCGGTACTTGCGTTGGTGGACGCTAGAGTGCCCTCAGATGCCCGCAGGCAGTATTGAAGCATGAAGTGGACTCCTTCCTTGGAGCCCAACTCATAGCTGATCGGTGTACGAGGTGATCCTCGCCCTCCCAACTTCTCCGCCATCCGGGTTGGGCTCCCTTCCCTCCTTCTCTCTCCTTCCCTCTCGGCCGGTCCCGCTGGCTTCGTTGCTCAATCTTGCCCTGCTTCCGGGCCAAGGACCATTCCCTCTTCAGTCCAGCCTTGGCCGGCAGACTGCACTTAGCTGACCAAGTCAGTTTTCTGACGTACCTGGTCTGCATCCCACACCAAACCCAATGTCGACGAGTGTCAATGCACAATTCGACAGCTTCCCGATTCAATTGCACTGTAATCTCCCGCGCGGGCTCACAGCTAGCAGCTTGCATCATGCATCCAGATTTCCCACGCAGAGTCGATCAAACGACATCACACCAAATGATATATTAACAACGCATGGCCGCGAGGAGTGCCGGTGTTGGAAGAAAGAAACAAAGAAAGAATAAGATGATATCGGAGATGCACCCCAAAAGATGCGACACATTACGGCTGAGATTGCCACCTCGAGAGGGCGGACATTTCCGAAAAAGTATGGCGGAAACAGCGACGGCAAAATAGTGCGGAAATTGACATCAGAGGAGCCTGAAAATGGGTCGGGAATCTTACTTCCGATCTCGCTCAAAATGGGGCGGATGCGCAGGAAAGCTTCAAAGTGGAGGTTTGGGCCTCCGTTCTGCAGGCGTTTCCCCCTCCGTTCTGGAAGCTCGTCGCCTCCGCAAGGGAGGTCCGACCTCCAGAGTGGGAGCCTCGCCGCAGCCCCGCCCCGCTAAATTGGCGCCCTGCCTGGCGCAGGTCGCGGGACCCGCCCAGGCGTCCGACAGGTGTCGGAGACGATTCAGCAACACTCACGCGGGACGTGGCTTGAACTCCCCCCCTCCCCCCCCGATGCAGTGTCGGTTTCGGACCTTCCGAGTCTGAGTGTTCGAGCGGTAGTACGTAAACGTGCCAACTTCGAATCGCAGGGGAGGGGGGAGTGTTGTTTCTCTTTGTTCCCTCAGCCCCATGTCTTGGTCCTTTCCTCGTGCGGGGCTTCCAGCAGCCCCGACCAGCTCCAGCCCGAGCCGCATCTTGATGGCCCGCCTGGGCCCGAGGCCCGCCCCCGGATGCCAGCAACGGCGACAAAACTGTTGAAGCGAGGGCATTTTTTACCTCTTCGCAGGCGCTGGCGCCCTTGTCAAATTCAGTCATGCGTGGCGCGGGCAGCACTCCCAGAGGCAAGCAACTCAAGGCCATGGAACCATTGGATAAGGAACTCAGGGTCTGCAAGATGACTGAACTCCAATAGTGGATTGGTTATCATGGCTATCGCCGCCGACCTCATCAGCTAAGGAATCCCCTCGAACGAACGCCTCCGCCATATGCCTTGTTTTCTGTTTTTTGTTTGCCAGAAGTGACGCCAGATGCCAGTGGGGGACGCGCGAGGGGCATCCGACGCTGCGGAACATCGCGCAACATCGCGCCATATCACGACTGGAGCTCCAGACCCTGTCTTCCTGCGGCATTTTCCGAGCCCGATCGACTCGCGACAGCCCCAGGGCCCGAGACCGGGCGAAAACGACCGGGGCGTGAAGGAATCGTATCGTCCGGCTCCCAGGGTCGGATGCCATGGGAGGCCGCGGGGGTGGCTTGCCCTCGGCTGCGCGGCTGCGCGCAGGAGTGGCCCCAGGTAAGAGTGAGCCTTGGTGCGCCACATAGGGGGGGGGGGGAAATCCAAGCGCGCAGACCAGTGTTGGGGCGGGGTGGGTCCGCACCACGGGTCCCCCTGGCGAAGGGCCATTCTTGCGCGCCGCCGATGGGTGGCGACATCCGAACCCTGCCCCCGCCGCCCGTCGAGCTGCCTGACTCGCTGCTCGGCGAGGGTAGGGCTCGGACTTCGCCGCCGACAGAGGGGAGGTCGCCGGGCCCGCCTGTCCGCCCCTGTCCTCCCGCGGGGCCCAGCGCCCGGCCGGGCGCCCCGGGCCCGCGCCCGCTCCACCCGCCCGCGGCGTCGGCGGCGGGCCCCCGCCCGCCCACGGCGGCGCGGGCGCGGCCACACCGCCGCGGGCCAGGGCCGGCGCGGGGCCCGCGCCCGGGGCGGGCGGCGCAGCGGCGGCGGGCCGCGCCTGCGGGCCGCCCGCGGGCGCGGCCCCCGCGGGCGCCGGGGGCTCCTGGGAGAGCTGGGCGCTGCAGTCTCTTGTTCGTGCTGCCGTGCCAGGCGCTGTCGCCCGGCCTCGGGCCCCAGGGCCAGCGCAGATCGATGCGGCCCGAATAACGGCGTTATACGAGCAGGGGGTCTGGGGCTCCGGTCGTGGTGTGCTGCGGGGCTGCAATCTTTTGGCGACGTCGGATCTCAGGCTCCGCTGCCGCAGAGGGCGCGCGGGCGCTGCCACCCAGGCCGCCGGGCGTGCACGTGGCAGCCTGACCTGCGCAGCTGGGAGACGTCTCTGCTCTGGAAGAGTTGCTTTCTGAAGGCAGATCTGCCTTCAAACGATTCCCGTTTGAAGGCAGATCTGCCCTGTAAGAACTCTTTTTGAAAGCAACTGTGTCCTCAGAGACGCGTAGGAAGCGGTGCGCCGCCGTTTTGTCGCTAAGCACGCCCAGCCGAAGCTGCTGCTCCGACGGAGCCGTTCCCAGGCACCTCATATACATGTTGCCTTCGCGGCCGCTGTGCAGTCAAACTGCTACCACAAGGAACGCCCAACAAGGAACGAAGCCCCTCTGGGGCCTCCAAAGCGCGTGGGTGCACGAGGAGCGCGAGAGGAACAATCATGGGGAGACCTGCTGTCAGGATTGCCTAGCGTGTCGCGGCGGCGGCCCCAATGACACGCTATGCTTTGCAAGTGGAAAGTATGTCGCTCCGTTTCGCGGAACGGGGGGCTAGGAAAGACAAGGAACGTTGATTCTTGGAGACTGCGACGTAGTCAGCGTGTCGCGCCGAAGCGTGATGGGCCAGAACTGGCGGCGCGACACGCTGGCCGAACGCTCCTGACCGTACGGAACAGCGATCCCCTTCAGAATCCGAACTGCTCCTTACTTCAGCGTCCCGACCGCAGGAGCGCAAGCATCGGCATAGCGCTAGGATTCTCAGCGCATCGGCGTGAGCTCCTCCGTCCGATGGGCGTTCGCCGATGCCGGCACTCGTGTGGACACCCTCCCGCCCGCGGGCCCGCAGGGGCGAGCGGGCACCCACATCCACCACTCCCCGAGGCCCCGAGGGCACCACCCGAGGCAGCGGAAACGGACCCAGACCCCCGACGAGATGCCTGCTCTCACAGCGTCGGCCCAAAGGCCTCGACCCCATCCTTCGAGCCTCTTCGTGACACTCCTGGGGCCCGGCGATGGCCCCCAGAGCCCGAACAACGAGCGCCTCCCGCCGCTGTGTTTAGGGAAACGAGCTCTATACAGCGACGCTTTTTCCGATCCTGCGCTGAAATTCACACAGGAACGCGGATCCTGCTGTATACGGGATCCTGGTGTATACACTTTTCGTTGTTTCCCTTGGAAAACGGGGGAAAAGTATACACCACACCACCCCGACGTCGTCCCCGACCCTCCAAAAGTCGTGGGATCGAAAAAGCAACCCGCCACTGGTAATGTATATGTTCCAGTTTCCGAGTGCTTTCTCGCGGCGCGAGGAGGTCGGGGGGACACGGCGCACTTCTCGGCGGAAGGACGACCGCCGGCCCAGTGCTGCTGCAGCGGCCTCGCCTGCGGGGTCGCCGCGAGCAGCCTGGGGCCCAGGCGGCCGGCGAGCGTGGCGGCGGGGCGAGCGCTCGGGGCCCTGCTGCGCCGCCCTGGGGCGGGCGCGGGCTCGCGCTCCGGGGACCGCAGGCTCCAGTTCCAGGCCTTCCCGTCGGGCATCCGCTGGACCTGCCGGCGGCGCGCGCCGGACCGAGAGAGAGAGCCCGAGCCCCTCGCGTCGTGAAGAAGTCGCGGCGGGAAGTTCTTGCCAGTTTTCGGTCTATGCTTGCGGATTGCTCGTAAGCGCGCTGCTGACAGCAATGCATTAGTTGTTCACGGGCAACTTGATCACAACCATAAGTCCGTAAGCTGGTTCACTCGGAAAGGTAGACATGTGGGCAGCGACGGGCGCGGGCCAGCCTCCCAGGTCAAGATGCGGGCAGAGCCCACAACATGCACATGAGGTCGACAACATGGTTCGGAAAAGGCTGGGGGTGTAAGAATCTGTAAGACCACGCCCGGCTGTTCTTTTCGCGACGCGAGGGGGTCTGGGCCCAAGGGCCTGCTGGACCGAACCCAGCGCGCACCCCGTCGCGTTGCGAATCAGGCTGGACAGGCCGCCACTCCCCTGACCTCGCCCGGGGTGCATTCTGATGAGGAGGGAGCTCCGAAAAGAGTCTATGCCGCTTTGTCTTCGTCGAGCTCGGCCAGACGCAAGCGCGACCCTCGGCAAGGGTGACCCGTGGTGCGCGGCTGTAAGGGGGGCGCGGTGGGGTCAAAGCCAAGCGCGCAAGCCGCTGCTGTCGCATCGCGTTCAGCGATCGGGGGGGCCCCAGTGGGCCAGCACCAAAATATCACTCTGGAGAAGGGTCGCTCTTACACACAGCCGATCATCCTGCGCATAAGGCTCGGCAAACCGCTGCTCCCTGGACCTCGCCCGCGAGGCGCATTCTGACGAGGCGGGTGCTCCGAAGGTTCATGTGCGCATGCCGCTGTTCCTTCTTCGAGCCCAGGGGCCTGCTGGACCGAGGCCGGCGCGCACCTGGAGGCCTCCCAGAGGGGGTCGGATTGGATGGGGTCGCAGGGTCGCTGCGCACCGCCGAGGCATCGCCGATGCACCGGCGGTGCGGCGCGACCCTCCGACCCCATCTGCTCGGACCCCCCTCTGGAGGGCCCACGAGCACCCAGTCTTGCGCATCAGGCTCAGCAGGCCCGGGCGCTCCTCCGGCCCCTCGGCGCAGGCCGCGGACGCGCCCGGTCCCAGGGCCTCGGCGCGGCTGCGGCGCGCTTCCTTCGGCCGCGGGCCCTGCTGCGGGGGCGCGCCGCGGGCGGAGGCCTCGCCGCCTGGGAGGGCGCCAAGCTGTGCGCACCTGCGCCGCACCCTGGCCAGGCCCACCCTGGGTCCAGGATCGGCGTGTGCGCCCTCCTGGCTTGGCCAGGGTGGCGTCCACGCCGATCCCGCCCTCCCCCCGCCCCCTGCCTGGAGAAACGGTGCAACTCTCTGCTCTGCCTTTCGCACCCCACCCTCCCCCCATGGGGCCCCCCCGATCTCAGTGTCGAGTCAGCCGCGGCCGGCAAAAGAGAGATCGAACCGCGCGGCGCCCCGCGCGAACACCTACATTGAGGGGCGCTGGGGGACGAACCGCGCGCGAGAGCTGCATCACTTGTGGGCCCACCCTGGCCAGGCCCACCCTCGGCCCAGGATCTCCGCATGCGCCCTGCTTGCTTGGCATGCGGTCAAGAACTCTTGCTTAGAGTGTCGCCGCGGCGGCCCCAACGACACGCTATGCCTTGCAAGCGGAAAGCGCGTCGCAAAGCTCGAGGCGCTGACGCTTGGGAAATGTGACGTGGATAGCCAGTGCCCGCGGCGCGACACGCTAAGCCAAAGTTCCCGACCGCACGGTAAGCTCACGTCGCGATGATGTCGGCGCTGGTTCCTGACACCGTGTGCATATGTGTGCATCGTTCAACCCCGAACGATCACGGCTTCCCAGCACCGCAGATCGCTCGAAATCTTGCGATCCTGGGCCGCTGGCGGCGGTCAACCTCGAACGCCCGCGCTGGGGCCGCCGTCGCGTCAGCGCGGCGCGAGCCTGCCGTACAGCTTGCGCTCTCCACCCGCCGCCGTCGTCGGAGGGCGGCCGCGCGCGCTTCGCGGGGCGCGCGCACGGAGGCTCGCCGTGCGCCGGGCCGCCAGCGGTGGACATCGCTCGCGCGCGGGGCCCTCGGGTAGCAGAGGGGGAAAAAAGTACCGATGCCACAGCGGGCAGGAGGAGGAGGAGGAGGAGGAGGAGGAGGAGGAGGAGGAGGAGGAGGAGGAGGAGGAGGAGGAGGAGGGGGAGGGGGAGGAGGAGGAGGAGGAGGAGGAGGGGGAGGAGGAGGAGGAGGGGGAGGAGGCGGGCTTTCCAGCGGGCGCCCCCCGTCCCTCGGCGCCGCGGCTGGATTCGCCGCGACATCCTGGCCAGGACGCGCCCCTGGAGAGATCAGGGGAGTGGCGGTGTCGGTACCTTCCTGCCCCCCGCGGCAACTGCGCAGGAGGCACCCTGGGCACCGCCGCCGTGCCTGGCCAGGGCCAGGCCTGAGGGCGCTGGGGCTATGTGCCTGAACGCCCAAACGCCCTTCTGGCCGAGGCGGGGGGGCCTGGCCCAGGATGGCCCTGGCCGAGCGCGGTGGTGGCGTACGGGTACCTCCTGCGGACGGCAGGGCGGCGCGGCCCCGGCCTTTTGGAGCAGCTGGAGGCCTGTAGGCCTCTGGCGGATTTGCCCTGCTCCATCCCAGCTCTTCCGCCCGTCGTCGGCCTCTCGGCGCTCCTTTCGGGCCGTTGGGCATCAGAAAATATCCAGGCCGAAAGAACCCACGACCCTGGACGGAGAAGCTAGCCCCAATGGGGAACAGACAAGCGGCCAAGGGCTGGCGGCCAAGGGCTCCGCAGAGGCCCACGGATCGAGAAAACAATCCGCCAGAGGTCCAGGGCGACGCTTGAGCACGAATAGCTGTCTGACTCACCTGGCTCCTTGGCACCTTTCTTCGCCCTCGATGTATCGCCCCCCCATTACGCAACGCACGAGCTCCCTCGCCTGCGCCCTAATTTTGTGCAATGCGGGGTCTCTAGATCTCTCGATAAATCCCGGGGACCGACTTTTCGTCCCAGATGGTTTTGCCAGTCCTGCAAGATGCCGAAAACGCCCACCGGCTTTCGAAAACCGCGAAAGACCTCGGCCGCATGTTGTTCGAGCCGTGGGTGGAGGTCTGGGTCGCGGAGCGTGGAGAGGGTTGAGCCTTCGCGATCTCGCCT